AGGGGATTTGCTTGCTAGACCTGGCATCAACCACGCAAACGCTGGCAGCGTGGGACTGCGCATGCATATGTACTAATAAATCCCTGATGATCCAGCCCTAACGAGTAAGGATCAGTCACAACAGCTCACCTGCCAGCATTAGTGCAGGTGTCGCAGGTCAGCAGCAAATGCCACCTCGGTCACACAAACAGTGAGGACAAGTCCAGCAGAACACTTTAGGGAATATAGCCTGAGTGGGTCAGCTTCATTTTGATGCCTCAGTTTGTTTTATTACACACATGTACATGTGGGTACATACTCTAAACATACAAAACTATGCCAAAAAGATCATTAAGCACATGGAAAACTGTGCCAGAAGGACCATTATGTCTTTTTAGGCAAACATTCAAAAATATCTATGATACCTTAATTCAACTCTCCTTTAAATTAGCCTTTAGTTACAGAGTCTTATGATTTTGTTTTCCACAGGACCACAGTCTCTTTTAGTTCAATGAGAAGTATTTTTTTTCCCCCCTTCACATTTTACAAGTAGTTCCAAGCCTTACTCAAGGCACACAATCCTATATGGAGTATTGTATTAGGAACCTCAGCAGATATGTGCCCTAATGTTAGGAGGGTACAGTCCTGACAAAAATCAGTGGATCTACAGAGGAAGATTCAGTGCCTCTGAATGAGGAACGTGCTTTTCTTCAGTGACCATATAGAGAATCCAGATGCAAGGTAGCAAGCATTCCTCTATGCCTTTGAGATGTGTGTGACACCTCCATCAGCTGAGTCCTTCTCAGATATCGCTGACAAAGGGGAGCATGGCATTGCAAACAGAGTTGATCAGTGCAACCCTGCTGTAACACGGGGATAACAACGTATGTTACAGGTCTGAGAACAGGTTGACAAGATGAAAACAAGAGCTCCAGCAGTTTCGAGGCCTTTAGCACATGCACCTGACCCCTGGTGTCAGAGCCCTGACTGTATATCAAACGAGCAAAGCTCCTAACTGCTTAAGCTACATCCTGGAGAAATTAGCATTTCTGCACATCCCAATCAGGCAACTCATGCTGGGAACCAAATGACAGAAATGCACGAGTGACCTCCTGCAAAAAAAGCCGGCATGGCCAGCTGCTTCCAGCCAGGAGAGCATCGCACTCCACTGTGCCTTCTCCCTATTTTCCACATAAGGCCATCCTTCTCTTTAGCTATACGAAGCAGGGGCCCCTGCAGAGAAGAGTTTCACTGCATTACGCTGATTCAGAGAATAAATCTGTGCAGGGCATGAGGCGAGGATGGGGTGAAGACAGGAGGATATGTAAGTAACGACTGTCACATTGCAGATGCCTGACAGGACTGAAGCTGCAGTTCCAAAATCACAGCAGTGGAGCTTAGCTTCTGAGGATTTGATTTTATACCTCCAGTCTGGATTTAGAAAATACCTTCTTATTTTAAAATAATTTTTTTTTTTTTTAAAAAAGATCTCCTAGCATTGACACAAGTCCAGATGTTAAAACAGGCACCAGCAGCTGCTTTTAAACCCCTTAGGTCTGCAGTCCCGCTCTCTACCAAATATAACTGGTAGCAATAGCGAGCCATGGCGACGCGTGCGACTTACGTTCAGCCGGTGGGTTTGACACGTTTTCTCTGCAGTGTGGGAACACAGAGACTTGGGTCTCTGAGGCTCAGTTCCAGATTTTGGAGAAAAGCAGCCAGTGGGCACAGTGGGTGTGCCTGTAATTCCTCTCCTCTCCAAGTGCCCCTGCTCCTCATGCTTGTTATCCCACTTTCTCCACCACCTGCTCTTCCTATAGCTATCCCAGCTGCCTACACTCCGATTCCTGCTTCATCACCTTCTGATTTCCTCTACTCAGAGCTTCTCCTGAACTCTTGCTTTCTATTTTCTTCCAGCTGCTCCTCACCTTGTTTTAACCCCTCTGATTTGAATGTGTTGTTTCTCCCCATCTCCTTTTGTGTTCCAGGTTCACCTAAGGGAGCAGAGCAGGCTGCTTGCTGCTTTTAGTGGCTGTGCTCTTCAGCACAGAGACCAGATGATGAACAACTCTGCTTTTGTAGCAGACACTCCTAGCAGAAGCTATGCAATTATTAGATGCCATATGCTTTTATAAATTATATTCAGGTGTATTTTGCAACTATCCTGTATTTTCAGGCTGCTCTGAAATTTAAAAGATAATTCTGCAGAGGTGCAGAACTGGTACGAAAGAGTTGCATCGAGATGTAAGATGATTGGACTTGATGATCTTAAAGGTCTTTTCCAATCTAGGCAGTTCTGTGATCCTGTAAGCGGTTGGGCCAAGGCTGATTGATCCATCTTGCATGCACTGAGCAAAGTCTCCCTTGCATCCTATAAAGACTTACTAGATATTCACAGCCCAAGTGCAGCAATCCTGCAGTCCAACAACACATCCTTCCACGTGCTGATTCCATTCCCAGGTAAAGCTCCGTACAACAACCCAACGCGATGAAGGGTTAACTTCAGTACACGCTAATTGCATTTGATGGCACCTACATACATTACTTGTAAGCTTTATTTTTGGCATCTTAAAATGAATCTGGCAAGCTAATGATATTCTGAGAAGGTCTTAAGGTTTCAAGTGCTGTGGGAAGTCCAGCACAGCTAACACCTGCAGCAGGTGGTAATGCTCCCGATAAGTCGGCGCTGAACCACTCAGCATCGCAGTGCCGTCTTTTGGATAACACAAGCAGAGTCCAAGCTCTTCCTCACAGTCATTCAGGGCCCTGCAGCTCGCTTCACAGTGGGAGTTTTGGACTTTGCTTCGTGGCCACGTTCCAATTCAGGCAATTGCATCTGAACCAAGTGTCCTCTGCTGCTTCTGTTGGATGAGCACATAAGCGCCTGGCTATTAAATGACACGAGTTCTCGAGTGAATGTGATACACGTTGACATCTCTGATGACAATGCATGGCAACACGTATGTGCAGAAAGTATCAATTACCATCCTGCTCATAAACCTCCTGGCAAGATTAAACTAGATAAGGCACGCTGTGTCAATGGGAACAGGATGGAAGGACAACCCCGGTGCAGCCGGATCTGCTAAACAAAACTTTCTGCCTAAGAACAAAGCTGCCTTTACAAGGCAGGAGGAGAGAGGGAGAGGAGCCTGTCTGTCCATCCCATAATTGACAAGAGAGAAGGGGGCTTCAGCTAGGAGACAAAAAGCAACACTATGTTTTGAGGCAAGCAGCAGCATCCACCTCAAAAGGCTGAATTTAGATGGAAGATTTATGTCTTTCAGCACTGTGAAGGTCTGTGGGATGTGATTTCTTTTGGGCAGAAAGAATATAAAAACCCCCATAAACACACTCTAGGTAGTACCAGGTTTCACAAAGTTTCAGATTGGTACATCAGTCACAATAGAAATCTCTTTCTCCCTCTGCCATTTCTTCCCCCTCCCCCATCTACCGCGGGCCACCAGTACAGCACTTGGAGACTGGAAGACAAATGGGCAGCTGCCTCTAGAGGCAATTGTGAGGAGACTAAAGATCAACTTGCAGCTGGCACTTCCACCCCCCACCTCTCCTTAATACTTCAGTCCACTTGCTGCCAGACAAGGATCATGAGTCAGCTCCTAAACATATTCTCCTTGAAACAATAGCTATAGCTCTCTGCTGCAGCTATACTGCTCCCCGGGCTCCAAGGGACACGCCACAGTTATGAAAACAAAAGGACTGATTTTAACCTACAGCAGCTCAACACCAGAACTGAACAATATTAATAAGCATAAAGAATACTATGCTAAACCTGGGAGATTAGCACAAGTCATTTCAACATGAAACAGGCATTAAGTCAGTGCTGCAACGAAAATCTGCAGAAGGAGAAAATAAAAGTGGTTTTGGGGATACATGGTAAAGCAGATGGCTTTTACACAAACCTCTTCAGCTACAACAGGGTGCAGTTTTAGACCACACCATTGTATGATGCAGCACTAATTGGAGGGCAAAGGAGCCCGTAGAGCCTTTACAAATTAGCTTTATCACAACCCCAGGAGCAGCTCCCTCAATTCCAAGTGGCCACCACTCACTGAAACTCCTGAGTTCACAAAGGTGGAACTCCAGCACCGAGTGCTCATCTCTTGAAAAGACATTTCAAGATAACTTCCTAGCAAGGAAAAAGCTTCCTTTTGCAAGGACAACATTTGAACTTACCAGCTAACAACGCCAAACTTTAACTTTTCTGACCCAAGCACTGTCAGATGATAAAAAATTCAAAGAGGAGGTAAGAAAAATGCATTGGAGATTTCTCAGAACTAGATGGTAAGTGATGAACCGGCGGTGACTACTGAGCACTTAAGAGCTGTGCACGTAGTACAGGTTAGACATGGGAGAGTCTACACCCACGCAAAGCACCTTCAAGAAGTATCAGCACCCAGAACATGCCTTACCTGCAGATAGTCCGAAGAAATGCTGCTGAAAGAGCTACAGTGCAAACTAACATGTTAGGAAACTTAAGCAAATGCTACGTGAAATTCTTATTTCTAGCTAAGAAATAGGCAAAACCAGTCATCCTTCCTCACCTCACCTCTCACAGCTGAGTAGTACCAGTTACTTTGAAGAAGCTTCTAACCCAAAAATACTGACACAACTTGAGCCACGTCGCCCTACAAGCCAGAAGGCAAGTTGGAGACAGAAATAAAAAGACAGAAATCAAAGACTACATGACATGTTCAAAGAGACAGGGCGATTAAAGAGAAGTCTGCTTCTCCTCCTGCACGACCCCGACAGGTGCGTTTCGTGGGACTGCACAACACAAATTAGAAGGTTCTGTTGTTAACGCCGTGCATCAATTTTGCCATCAACAGAAACATGACTGATGGATACATTCTGCATAAAAATATAAAAACATAGCAGACTATATACATACGTATCTTTTAAATTATTTTATTTTGTGTAAGCTAAAAGGAAATTTACACACTTAAATCTCAAAAGACCTTGGGCATGCACATTGACCTTTTTCAGAGGTTCTTCTACATAGCTCTCTTTTTTTCCATAGGAATTTCCCCAGACATTTACAACCCATAGTTTTTTACTGTATATACAGCCTAAAACCATAGCAATCTATGATTATGTCATTTTACACTGTGCAAAAATCAAACAGGAATAGTGGTAACAACAGAACATAAAAAAAAAAATTTAACAGGTAAATTTCATTGTAAGACATTCATATAGTTTTGGTCCTTCTTTTCCAAATCAAACTGATTAAAAGCAGACAACCTTCTAATGACCCCCCAAAAAATAATAATAATAATAATAAAAAAAAATAAAAAGTGTTTAAACAGTGATCCGTAACTGGAACAAGAAGTTACTGACAGCAGACCTTTCAAAAGGCGATATAGTGACAGAGCCAATACTATTAAAGTTTAAGAACATAAAAATTGATCAGCCAACCAATCAAACAGGGGGAGGGGATAGGGGAGAAGAAAAGGAAAAACACATCTTCAGCTTGTTAAAACACAAAAGAAATGATCGGGTTTTAAAGAAACAACAATAACTGAAAACCCGCAAAGGGACAATGTCACCTTTTAGATTCCCCCCTCCCCCAGCAACACGTATTTTAATATATGCAGGAAAGAAAAAGATGCTCAATGCAATCTGAAAACCTTTCAGGGGGAACTTCACAGATTGGGAAGATTGAAGTTTTCATTCTGTGTTTCTAGGATTTACTTCTTTTTTTTTTTTTAACTTTTTAAAGTTTTGTAAGAAGGACACCACCAGTGTATTTCACAAAGACATAAATGTAGACACCCCAGCACAACAAAAAGAATAGATCTTCAAAAAGATTTACCCCCAATTATTTACATTTTTTTTTTCTAATATAAATTTAGGACTCCAGTATGTAAATAAATATACATTACTATGTATACCTTTCTAGTGCTGCTTACCAACAAATCATCTGAACTTTTTTTTTATTAAAGCAAGATTGCTTTTTACAACCCACAGAGGGAAGAAAAAAAAAAAAATCAATAGAAAACGTCCAATTCACATCACTTTAGTCTACCTTTTCTTGGCAGCTTGTTGAAGGTGTTAATGTGGCTGGGAACATCAACACCTTGGCATGCATGAAAGTTAAGTCAGGAAGGCTAGAAATCACCTTGGCAGCCTCTTCGCTAAGATGTTCTTCCTTTTTAGGCTTCCTGTTGAGAAGAAAAGAACAAAGTGCATTAATTCAGTACCTGCTATCCCTTGGATCACCAAAAGAATCACTGACTGAAGCAGTGTTCTGGCAGTTTGTCTCCCATTAACAGGTTCTTCTGTAAGCTACCTGAAGGTAGTCTAATGTTATAATATCTACCTGCCTACCAAAAAAATGTTAACATAAAAAGTCAGCAAAATGTTCTGGAATATTGTTGCTATAAGGAAAAAAAAAAAATTCTATTCAGATGTTAATTTTTATCCATTTTTCTCTTTTTTTGGCAGGTTTCAGCATGCCATTCTGGGTCTACTCGCTTGAAGAAACAACCATGCCCCATATGCTAGGGATAAGAACTAATGCTCCTATTGTCTTAACTACCCAAACCCAGTATTAGCTTTCAAAATAAAATGGAAAAATCTCGAAAGGACATTAAGAAGTTCCTAACTTAATATTTTTAAAAGAAGAAAAAGATTCTTATGCTGTGTTTCTGACATGACCATACTCAGATTATACATCATACCACTTTACATTGCTTTATAAACCCCTTTTTTTTCCCCTCCCTTGGGCTCATCAGCAGCAAAAGGTGGCTCACAACTTGTAGCTACTTGCTTTGAAGTGCAGTAATATGTGTAGCCATAACGATACATACAGCAGTTTGGGAATCACTTTGCTTTTTGCATTATTCACAGGAATTACTGAGCCCAAATGAATAAAGAGGTCTGAATCCCATGTCACTTGATTCTCATTATTATGCAAGAAACTCACATTTCCTAAGTAAAATGAAGACTGGCTCAGGCTACTACAGAAGACTCCCTCCCCTGCCCAAACACACATACTTTACAGATGTCTTATCTTGAAGAACACTGCCTATTACTAGAAAAAAAAAAAAATGAGTATTCCATCAAACATTATTCCAGTTCCAAAAAGGCATCTGCTGCACCCTGTAATGACATTAGAAATTCCAGCTAAATAAGCTCCCTCATCTTTGGGGCAAAATGCTGAGTCAAAAGGCTCAAACCAAATAAAGTGCCCTAAAACACTTCAGAAATTTATTTTCTCTATCTTGTCTTAGCAACCTGGTCTAGTGGAAGGTGTCCCTGCTGCTGGCAGGGGGGTTGGAACTGGATGAGCTTTAGGGTCCCTTCCAACCCACAACATTCTGTGATTCTATGATTCTATAAACTTTAAACTGAGCTCGGGAGAGGGCAATCACCACTCTGATCATGAAGTGGCATGTACTTATGTTTTCTTTTGACAGCACCCATCAGGATTGTTTCCTGAACTGATCAGAGATCAGGGGAAAGCAAGGGGCTGTGCACTTGCTTCAGCAGCAGTCTCTGAATTTTTTAGCTAGGAAGAGAAGAAAAAAAAAAAAAAGAGCTGGAGTCAAACTCATCCTTGACATCACTGATCATTGTGTTGACACTGAACTATCACTTTTGTTTGCTACTTGAAATCTCCACTTGATGAAAGATCTCTAGATGAGGCACAGCCTAGATACTAAATCTGACTTTCCTTCACTAGAATAGCAATATTTTCTTTTCTCTGCTGCAGTGGAATTTCATGAGCCACTGACTAGGCAGATTACCAAATTCTGGAGGATAAACAAAGCTGTGTGCTGGATTTATTGAAGGAAGAAGCAGAGAGCCAATATGTGCCTCCTTTTCCAACAACTTCTCAGTCAGCCCTGTTTGCACTCGAAGGACTATCTCTGAGCTGTTGAAATGTGGTTGTCAACCACCACCGTGTTATCAGTATCTGGTGCCACTATTAGTAGTCACTTACCACAAGCCTCTTAAAGGTACAAACTCCTGGTGATCAAGGACTTACAGCTAACAAAGGAGTGTTTGACAGAGGAAGCCAGAGGAAGAGGGCTGACTCAGAGATCTGCATTAAAAGGAGTTCCTGTAATTGTTAAACAGGCACCGAGATGGAGCTCACACACTCCTTGCTATTTATATGCCTCTTCCTCCTTTGCTCAGCTGTGGCATGCTAAGAAATGGCAGTGCTGGGTCACAGAGGCACTGCTGCATTTTATTTAGTGGTCATATGCAGGACCTTTATCACAGGACAACGCTATGGCTCTTGCTGTACTAGCTGGGCTCTGCAACATCACTGCAGAACACACACACCAGTGAGCACAGTCAGATGTGACCAGTGAGCAGTCAGATGTGAATCTCACCCAATTACTGTGTGCTCCCCTCCTGGCTGGAGGCCTTTTGCAATAATTTCTCTACTTCAAGTGCTCTGTATAAAAGTATCTATAAAGAAGGACAAGGTAACACACTTACACAGCAAACATTATTTAACCAGGACCAAGTTACAGCTATATATACAATCACCTGGTAAAAAGGCTCAAAAGCTTTTTTTAAAGGGATGAGACAGCCTAAAGTCACCATTTCTCAATGGAGAGGGACAGGTTCCTCTGGAAGACAATAAAACTGGACACTGCAAGTACCCTTTCCGGGTAAGTCAGCACCTTTGGCAGCAAATATCACCAGAGCCACCACTAAAGAATTACTCACTAGCTCTCTTAACTTAAAAGGCAAGGTAGCATCATCACTGCAGATGGTTTTTAACCTTAAAACTTACCAAACTGCCTAATAACTGTGATGCCTTTTGGTAGAGGCAAGAGAAAGAACCATGTCAGGTGCATTAATTTCAGTCACCACTTTTGCTGAAGATGTTCTCACTGTCAAGGGAGATTCTCTTGCTAAACCTTGGTCTGTGGGAGGCTGTTGCAGACCTTCTACTCATACACTTTAATTTCTAGCTACTGTGGTTTATGGAACAGACACTCTAGTGGATTGTCAGTGGCAGCTCTACTACCTCCTCTGCTTTGGAACCAGAACTTTGCATTGCTAAACCATTAAAGGACCCAGCCCTGGCTCAAAACATCGAGTCCCTGTCTATTCAGGTATTAAAACTACCTTTTACAGAACACTTTGCCACCATCCATCTCTTCTCTTGCTCTAGGCTACAGATCCTTCCAAGACAAGAGGGGATGCCCTTACCCAAGCAAATAATTGCAAGTCCCTCTACCTGTTGGCATGAAGTTCTCTTTCAAAGGCATGTTAACAGTAAGCTGCCAGACTGATGGGGAGGAAAGTTGTTGGAAGAAAATTTAACAAGAAATAGGGAATGTTTTGTCAATGCATCACTGACACCTCACTGTTCTGTTTTGTATTCCAACCCTTTCCTGCAGCATTCAAGTCCTTCAGGACTTTGGTCATCACATGTTTGCAAAGGGTTTTGTGGACAGCACCAGCAGGCTCTAATAGCACCAATAAGTTCCTTAGAGAAATGCACTTTAAAAATAATAATAATAAAAAAAATCACTCTGTAATTAAGAGTTAGCCTGCTCCATCCAGCACCGCCCACAGGGAGTATTTCCAGTTTAAACCAGGGTTTTGGCCATTTCTTGGAAAGGTGTCAGTGCTCTGCTTTCCTTCAAAAAGATAGCAGATAAACTTTTGATCTCTGCCAAGTCTGTGGAAGCAGGCAAGGCTGCAGAGTCTCTCAGTGGAATACTGCACCGGATCCCTGACCTTCAACACTTACTGCTGCCACCAAAGTTTCAGGCTCAAGCTGAGGGGGGAAGTCTCTCCTCCTCTCCCAACACTTTTCTTCTGAGAAGCTGACTTTCCAACTTCAAGAGATGGGTTTGCAAGCAAAAGATGGGGCTATTTCAGACAAAAAAATGACTCTTCACATGGCTTCCTACAGCTGAGCAATTGTATTTTCACTCTAAACTTTATCCTCAAAGATTCTGAGTTCAGGTAAGTCAGACAGACGTGGGATAGCCTTAGCACAAGTGAAGCTGACACTGGCCACATCCTCCCTAACCAGTTATCATGAACAGCTGGCTAACAGTCCATTATGTTCCCAGGTTGGTGTATAAATGTCATCCTTGTTAAGCTGGCTGTACTCAGCCACTCCTATTATAAGTCTCCAGTTCATTAAGAAAGTATTTTTTAAAAGTCAAAAGAAAAAAGAATTTTATTAGAAAAAGCTAACACACTGCAACATATTTGGCATACCGCTGAGATAAGACCTTCTCATATCTCTGAAGGTTTCTAGCTTGAAGAACAGAAAAACAGACTTGTTTTCTTTCGGAGAGCACGAAAAAAAACCAAAAACAAAAACAAACAAAATCCACAATTTTAAAAATTCAGAGTTGACAAAAACATGCAAAATGTATTGAACAGTGAGAACAGCTGCTTTAAAACTGCTAATCCTTGTGTGTGTCTGAACTTAACCGCCAAGTCTGAGGTCCCCAGCCTCTTCCTACGGTCTGATATATTGCTACAGCACAGATCTAGAAGTACTTCTGATCTAGAATACTTCTGATCAGTAAGCAATGCTCTCCAGAAAGGGGGAAGAACTTTGACAGCTGGATAAAAAGCTTTAACAGCACAAGTGCACCATGGAAGCATTGGGAAAAAACCTAAACCCCTCATAGCAAAAAACAATAATATGGAAAAACAAAGGTCAATATTTGTTTAAGCAAAGTAGACTGCCGTGTTCTTTTGCAAAGAAAGCTTAAAGCAAGCAATCAGATGCAAATCTATGAGTGGAAATAAAATAATTAATAAGGATTCATTTGCAGTTTGTATGGCCTGCTGTGAATTTGTGGTTACTGTTAAATCAGACTTGGAACATATTACAAAAATATTTCAACTGTAACTGTGTTTTCTAATTAGTGAAAGTCATATTTTTCCCCCACTAGTGTATCTTCAGAAAGAGTAAATGCACTCCATGGACAGAAAAATAGGCAATCCAAAAGCCCAGACACAAAAATCAGCATTGAAGTGTGGAGTTCCCTCTACTGGTTCTCCCTTGAAATTTCATGGCTCGTTGATCTTTTTTATTCAGAGTTGACTTCAAACGTTTTCACTGCAACATAGTTTTCTCAATGAAAGAATGTTTTAAAGGAGCTCTTGGAAATTATAGTTTTAGTCATTTTAAGAAAGCCAGCCTTCTCCCAGCATTAAAATCACTACATTTGCCAGAACTCTTCAACTGTGCCTCCTCTCTTAAGTGCTACGAGGTGTGGAAATGCACCTATTAAGTTTTAGGGTGTCGAATAAACTCTAAAGCTCACTTAAGAATGAGGATAAGTTACTATCTATTAGTTGCAAAGCAACTAATACTTTGCAACTAATTAGTTGCAAAGCAACTAATACTTGTTGCATGTTGAGGCTGCCTTTCCTCAACAATAGAAACATTTTATTTGGTGAGAATCACTTGGCAATTCTTTTAATGGGCACAGACATTAACTATATGTTAAGACAGTCCAGGATCCTACTGCTAAGATACACCTTCAAAAAATAAACCCAAAGAATACAAGCTTATACATGGAGAGTCTACTCTGTACCCAGTCAATAGGCCAGACCTCAATGAAGATGTTTGACACTTAAAGACTCTACCCATAGAAAAAGTACAGGAGAACTTCACATGAGATCCATGAAGCAGAAGGAACATCCTAAACCAACTACACACTCATTCCCTAACTTGCAACAGCAAAATGAATCTGATGTTTAGTCTCTGAAGTTTTGACAGGTGCTAAAAATATATGGGAAGGGACAAATATTGTCATAATTATTAGTCAGTTTAAGCATTTTACTTGTGGAACATTCCATAACTATAAATTACAGAGAGGACTGAGGAGAGTCTTCTGTCCAAGTCCCAGGTCACTGAAGTGCGTGGTTCAGTTTACCCTTCCATTCTTAGGAATCAGCTTTGTTCTTCAGAAAGTAATTTCTTCCAGTTCAGTCTTTGGCTTTAGGTTTTTAAACTTATGTCCTGGTCATCATCTTTCAGCTCATGAACTGTTTCCCATCTTATTTTAGAGTTCTATGATAACTTGAAAGATAAATTAACTGCTGTATGTATAAATTTCATATTTAAGTTTAATTACTAAATTTAAGCCTTCTGACCTAAAACAGCACAGACATTCACTCTGGCCATTTCGTGCCACCCTTAGAAAAAGAAGAAAAAAAAAAGAGAAACAAGTATTATTTACCTTGTGGACGTGCTTGCCTTCTCCACTGTGGACATGAGTCTTGCAAACGCATCAGTCACTCTGTTGCTTGCGTTGGTAGTTTCCAGTTTTGAGGTTGTCAATTCAAACAACTCGGGATCCACACCTTATAGTATAAAATGATAATCAGTGATGGTTGGAGGCAAGTACAGCCATAATTAGCCAAAGATCAACTTGCTAAAGACTGTTTTCTGTAAACATCTGAATCATTTATAATTTCGAGATACATGACAGAACACGTCTGCGTTTCTGAAACACTGTCCTCTCTCCCCACCCTTTTTCAGTAGCTTTTATAGTCATACTACAAAACACACACACATTGGATCAAGTCTGGCATACCAGGTCTCAGTCTAAGAGTAAAGAAAACAAGTTTGATTTACCTTGTAGAGTGAAACACCCGTAAAAATGTCAGTTGCATTAAAATGGATTGTTTCAATTACTTCAACTCAACTGTCTGTGTTAAAAGAACAGGGACCAACTCTTTAACGAGAGACGACACACAACGCTGGCATGCATTAAAGTGCATTTAGTATCTTGCTTTTCACACAATGGGGTGTTAAAATTTTTTTTTTAAGTGAGAAAAAGCAGTTTTTATGACATATAAAAGTGGAATAGCATTAAAAACAAATTATATACTAATATATACAATGCTACCAGAACTTTTAGTCTATGCTCCCTTTCTATCTTTTAAGTATTTATAAAGCATCAAGTATCTGGATGTTTCAGCCTTGATTTCCTAGTTTCAGATATCTTAAATCAGATGCTAAATTTTCACTTCACATATACTGCAAATTGATTTAATATTTTATCAGCAGAGGTCATTCTGAAAACCATGCAAACCTGCATCCAAAAAAATAGATACTTATGGGTGAAATTCCACCTGTTTAAATCAAGTATCACGTTTCAGTAGGAGGTAGCTCTAGAATTTCCAGATATTAAGTATATTTTCTTTAAAAAAAAGTTTCTAGGAATTAGAATTACCAAAAGAAATCAAGAGGAAAGATTGTTACAACACATTTTGTTGCTCAGAAGCATTTTAAGTTGGTGATATCCCTCTAGTTACAGTTTCAGCTATTTTATGCTTCATGGGTTTAAATGAAGTGTGCATATGCACTATCCACAATTATAAATATTTTTTTTCAAAAACAGCGTAGAATTTTTGTACAGAAGCCTCATGTTTTATAGACACCTGCATTCTAAACAAGTGTAACACTAGTGCCTGCAGGTTTGGACAACACAGAAGCATTTCATACTACTGCAGAACAAACGCTGCAAATACTTGGACACGATGGTCCCACCCAATATAAAACCAGCATTTATAAACCAATGTGCTGATGATTTTACTGAGTTTATTTGCCTGGATCAAGACACTTTTAGAAGTACTCTTGAAATACTGAAGGATTACTAAATAGAAAAAAAATGTCTGTGCCTATTTTCCTGCCTTTTCCACCCAGTAGCTGCAGTACTACAAGCACAAAAAGATGAATACAACAATCCTCCTGTCTGCTTTGCGCTCCCCAAGCGGCGTCTTGACCATTTGTCATTTGTGCACAAGTGAAGCACTCTTTCACTGTTAGGAAACTAAGCCAATCAAAAAAGTAAAATGAAGAAAATAATCTGGTTAAGCTGCAGGAGCTGGGGGGAGTGAGGGGAAGATGTGCTCCATTTCATAGGAGTCAATTAGAAATTAATCGGTTCTCCTTTCAATCTAGATTTTTTAAGTCTAGATTTTCAAAGTTAATTTCACCCAGTTTCATGCAAAAAAAAAAAACAAACCCAAAATACCTACTGTCCCGAGACCAGTATACCAAGACTTTAAGTGTTGTCAGATGTTTACAGAACTTGGAAATAGGAAAAAAAAAAGCCCAACTATTCCATAAAATATCCACTTTCAAACAGGGAGAGGAAGACTTGAAGAAATACACTTTGACTTGCAGAAGCCTGCGAAATCCCATTAAGGTACAAATTGTAAAACTAATTGAAACAAGGAGTCCTTTGACATGCAACTCTGCTACAAGTATTAAATGCAATCTTATAAGTTACATCATTTAGATATTCACATTTACAGTCCTGAATTCGTTTTTATTGTAGTGCAATGTCACTGCTCAAGTTACTGTTCTTTGGCACCTCTTACTCAGCTACATTTACGTTAAACTATCAATGTGAAAAATAAAACAATACACTAAATCTGTGGGGACATACTAGAAATGAGTAACTCCCTCTTCATGACATGGAATGCAAATTTTAATAAGAAGCGATTTTTGGCGACTGATAAAATCAGACTGAGAAGAATACGGCGTAGGTCTATAGTAAGTAAAATTAAGGTCTTCAGAGAAAGAACAAACTTCTATTACTGATAAAAGTTTCTTCTTTAAGCCAAAAGAGCTAACAATTTGTCTTTCAGTTATTTTAGTTATTTGTAAGAGTTGCATATTCTCCATTTTATTCAAATGATTAGATAATATCTAAGGAAAGCATTGCAAAACCTTAATGAGATATTGAAGGAAAGTTAGCCAACCAAACCCCACACAAAGCTCCTAGACACGCACACAAACACAAGAGCTGCAAGCCAACAAACAAATGACTTTCCCAGAAACAAGTCAGGAGGAAAGAAAAGCCAAAACAAAAAAAAAACCACCCCAAAATAGGCACTACTGGGCATACCAGGGAAGGTGATAATACCTGTAACTTGATGAAACAACAAAAACAACATAAAAATGCAAGAAAAGGCTAACAGAGGAGTATCCTTTCAGTAATCACTTTGGGTGTGCACACCATCAGGACACACGAACGAGAAGTACAGATACTGGGTACTGATGACTTCTACGTCGATAGACTTGCACACACTTCCAAAAGAATCTCTAAGACTTAAGTCTCTCTTAAATTTGCTACCTATCACTTTCACAACAACCCTGCCATCTTTCAGCTGATAATGACATTTCTCAAAGGTGGCATAAAAAGACATTTGGAGTGTGACATCGTAAAATTTCTTTCAAGGATTAGATTTACATAACTAAGAAAAGCAGGGTCTTTTTAAAAACAAAAAATACAATAATAATTATAAGCACTTATGTGAAATGTAGGAAAACCCCAAACCTCTTAAAAATTTATTTTTAAAATTAAAATCGCTAAGAAGAAAAAAACCCTTCCTACAAAGAAAGTGATTATCATGGCTGCAGACATCGTACTGAAAGAATATTTGCCTTATCTACTTGACCTAGGCACTGGGATAAATCCCCAAAAATGTTCCCTTAAATTCCTGCAGAAATTTACTCGAAGCGTAGGTTTTCACAAGCTCGTGCAAAATACTCAGAGCATGTCAAAACCATGTGATAAAAGAATTCAACTACTTTCACCTATTATTCAGTGGAGAATGGAGCTGTGTTTTCATCCCCTTTTTAAGGCAGTAAGTCGCAGATAAAGTCCTTTGGTTTGATAATTAGTGTTCATGAACTTCTAACGTCCCACACATGCAACTATCCTTGTTTTCTATTATGAATGTTGTTAAAACACTTTTTTCACTTGATCATTAGAATCAGTAGCTTACACAAAGGAAAAATTTACAACCTCCTGGCAGCAGCAAACACCAGTGGGACTGTGATACGTTAAGCCCCAAGAATTTATATTCACACACAACTTCCAAATAATATCATAGTCCTATAATTTGGAGACACTCACTCAGAAGAGAGAAAAAGGCTCATTTTTTGGGAACTGTCACATCCATTTACAGCATTTTTCAATTTTTCTTAAGTGCTCAGAAAAATTAACTTTCTAAATTTCTCATTTGAAATAAGTGTTTTAACATCATATTTGCCAGAGCGTAAGAGCCATTCATTCCTTCAGCACGTGAACAAATACAGAGCTGACAGTACCTTTTAAATACTTCGCACTCGATACAAAAACACCAGAAAACAGAACACAGATTAAAGGGGGGGAAAAAAAAAAAAACCAACGCAGTAGAGAGACATTTTAGAGAAACGCAATGTAAAATTTCTCCTTGTTTATAGGAAAGTCAAGTGATGTGCTCATGCTTTTAGTAAGTCGTTATAATATTACATTTGTGGTTTTAACACTCTGCTGACCTGGGATTGTGGTGGTGCTGCTAGAGCTACTGTCATCCACGGGCCCAAAGAAATCAAGGTTCAGAAGAGTGGAACCTCCACTAGCTTGAAATTCAGTGACCGTGTTGGTAGGCAGCCATATAGAAGGTAAGCCAAGGGAGGGGTTTATGTGTAAAAAGGGGTAAGACACACACTTGAACATGCAAGTTATAATTAGTACTCAGTACGCAATTTAAAAATTGACATGAAAACAATGCTTACAGTATTAGTTTGTACCTTCTAAAAATGTTAACAACTTAATTCAGTGCACATTTCCTCATGTACAATGCAGCAAGGAAATCAACACTAGTAACTTTAAAATAGATAAATTTATTTCAATCTAAAAAATGAAAGAGAACCAGCACGACCCAGAGAGAAAGATGTGATCAAAGTTAAAGGGAAACAATATATAGGTCAATTAATCGTTAGAATATAGCGGGCTTTTTCTCCCCTCACTGGAATGGAAAGCCATTCTTTCATCAGGAAGACTTAGTAGATCCCCAAACAGCAAAGAGCAAAACAAAACAAAACAAAATTTAAAGTTTTATTTAGCAGCTTTAAGCTATTAATTATCATTATCTTAAAGCAGTGTGAACACAGGGTAACAAATGCCACTCTTCTATCCAGTTCCTCACTGGTCAGTTATACTGTTCCCCTTTAGTACTAAACCAGAAATCAAACCAAGATACATTTTAAAGAAGTTGTTTGTTAAAAAGAAAGCATGATGATTGACTGAAGTAATAAGACACCAGACAACAGCAAAAGGGTCCATCCAGGCTTTCCTTCAGCACCATGATATTGCTATCCAAACTCTAACATCCCACAGCTTCCGAAACGACACCGTGAGGCAACACCAGTGCAGCAAGAGATGCAGTTAATTTGAGCCTGCTTTTGAACAACTTAAGTGTCATGAATTAATTGCTGTTGGCAGGCTCCTCGTGAAGATATCAGTTTCTTTACAGGTTTCTAGTCTGTCAATCAAATAAGTTTCCAAAACTTGTTTTCTTTCCTTTGCATGCACTTACATTTCTGAGACTGGAGGCGGTGGCACAACTCACTTTGCTATTAAAATAGACATAGGTGAAGTGTCTTTTATGTGATAACTGTATGTACATTTACAGATACAAATAAGTTCATAGCTACCCCTTTAATTTAACATATCAGCTCTAATTAGCTCTTGAGTATAAGCAAAAGTCTTGACAGATGAAGTCACATTTTCTGAAATATAAAATTATCTGTAAATCTGAAAACTTCCATCTCAAGTGTATCTTTTGGAAACAGCTTGTGGTTAAAATATTGTGCTTTGAAGTAGCCACTATACACAAGTTTGTCATTCAAAGGATGTCTAAAGAGATAGTTCATTGGTGAAAAATACTTTTAAGAAGTAAAGCTTGTCAATCTAAAACGCTCATTTGTTCAGGGTTTTTCATAATAATCTGCAATTATACATAATGAAGTGTTAATATTGCCACTGTGTCATTAGCATATGGCAGGAATCTAAAAGACTACATCATACTTCACATAGGGGCACAGTTAATCAGAAAGAAAGCCTGAATTTCCAAAGTTAGGAGTAAGAAATAAATATTATATATTTTTTTAATATATATATATGTGTGTGTGTGTATATTTAAAAAAATAATCAGCAGATAGATGTTTGTCTGAACTTTGTAGCTTTCTTATCTCTAGCTCTGGTGCTAGAGGCTCTACGGAGAGACGTACCATCTAAAGGGTTAGTAAGGCCACTGCTACTCCAGTCAAACTGGACAGGTGGTAGAGATTCCTAGAGTTGAAAAGTCAGAAATCAGATTTTATAGTCAGTTCAGGTTATAACAATGCAAAGCAGTTCAAACAACAGATTCTTTAGCATCTAAATACTAAAAAGACAACTGAATGAGGAAGCCTCAACTTTTGGGAGGCGTGTTATTTTCATAATAGGCACTAAAGATTCAAAGTAGATTTGTTCTACCACAGGAAGTCTCATTAAATTCTGAACAGTATAGATTAGGTAACTTCTAGCTCAAACAGGATTTGCAAATTAACTAAAACACATGAATTGGATAAAAAAACCCCAAACCTTAAGGCACAGTTGAAAGTTAAACTACTATTACTTTCATGGAAGATGAGACATTTTGCATAACAAGTTATGTACACACAATTACAGGGTAAATTTAGAATAGTGTTATTAGTGAAAGCTGTCTGTGCATCCAGGCTTTGTCCTGATCATATATAAAATCAGTTATCTAGTGTCAAACATGTCCATGACTCTCGTGGATTGTTTTGCTTTTAAAAAACATAATCCCTACATGTGAGGGACAAGCTCTCACCACTCTCCTCACTCCACTCCCTTTAAAAAAAAAATTAAAAAAATAAAATAAATCTGTGACTTACAGTCCTTTAATGATTAACTCATGCCAATATATAATACAACCATTGGTAACAATGCTTGAACAAGAGCAAGGAAACACTGACTCCTTCTGGGAGCCCACCCTTGCCTTTCCATCTCCTCCTGTTAAGTCTTGTATGCACAGAGGTAAATCAAGCGAGCAGCAGGGACCAGGCTTTACAGGGAAAGTGCATTCAGGTGCAGTGTGACTCCCAAGTGCTGTCCTCTTGTATTCCCAGGAATACTGACAGGACAGTACCAGAAATGTCTGAAATAAAGTTGATCTTTCTACTTCTCTGCATTACATTTCTGCTTTCTCCCCAGTGAAGTCAATTGCCAAGAAGCACTGGGAAAGGATGTGCCTTCAACTTCTAACGGAACAATCAGACTTATGGCAGAAAAGCAATGGAAGTTCTCTGCAGCATTATTCAAAATGCATCACTAGTTGTCAAGCTTCCAGTGGCTGAGGCACACTTTCTCTTTGCTTTTGGAGAAAGTCAGGCTTTAATTTATCTATATTTTTTTTCCCCCCCCAATTATCCAACACTGAAAAAATATGCAGATTCACAAATCCAGACTGTATCAACCTGAGCTAGCTTGGTACAATCAAGCCAACTGTAAGAGGCTTTTGCTAGGTGATAGATATTTACAGAAGGAAAAATGAAGGGAGCTGGAGATTTCTGTATTTACTTATAGTAAATGCCTTGCCTAGAAAAATCTTTCCTACCTAATGACTTGGAAATAATTCCAGTACTGAGCACAACTAGAACAGTATTCACTCCGTGGAGCTTAAGGAGCTGACGCCACACGTTTTACTTTGCTCTGGTAATGAAATTACTGGCATTGAAATGATTTGCATGGAAACATAATGTTAGCAGTGTGGAAGCTACACCTGATGAAGAAATGATCACTATCATCAGTAGCTTGTTTAAAGTTTGTCACATCTAAAATATATTAACATTAAAAGGAGTCCGTATAAAAAGAAATAAAGGAGGTGAGTATGACAATTTAGCAGCTTTCTGCCCTGAGGAAAATGAACTCACACTGAAACAAGTAGCTTCCTACTAACTCTCACTTATTGAGGAAAACACCCACCACATTCTGTGTCAAAAGACTGAGTCAGGACTAATGAGTGTGACAGAACTGCATGGAAAAGGTGGTCCCAATGGCTGGCTAAGTTTTTCCCTTTAATGACTTGTTTCTCAAATTTGCCAAGGAGAGGACAAAGAATGTGATGAATTCTTCCTAAAATAGGGGAAAAAAATTCATCTGATTCCAAATGAGTAAGAGCACACTAAGTATACTAGTCTGCTCTGTGGGATGAGGTCATTCTGCTGACTTCAACTTGCGAAAGAGGGAGGTGGCAAGTAAAGCAGATCCCATCTATACGGGATGCTGGCAAGTCCTGGTCTGCACCACAGCAAACAAAGTGAAAGGAGAGGGTAGGGGCAAAAGCCAATTTAAACAGAAAGGAAAAGTTTTCTGGTCTCTACTGACCGCAGCCCTAAGAAAACTAACTAGACTGGGATACCTGAACACAGCATTGAAATCTCAGACACGGGAATGGAAACATGCCCTGCAAATGGAAATAAAGCGCTTTGTCTTCCAGAGATTGCAAGGTTGCTAGCCTACTGCATTTACAACCATTATTTTAATAACATACTTTAGGGAAAAATGCCAAATCTATAAGAATGTTGAGAATTGGGGCAAAGTGCTCTCACTGCTCCCTCCATCTTAGATCACAGGACATGGTACAGAAATAAAAGAGGATACTCAGCTGTCAGAGCGCTACTCTGAATGTTAGAGAAGAGGAAACTAAAATGCCTGCTGGTTTTATTGCATCCTATTTCACCTTTATCAACGTTAAAGGTGTTTTCACATAGTAATTTTAGAATGGTATTATGTAAGAGCTTTTATAATCCAAAACAGTAAAATGTAAATTTTTGTCTCTGTGCCAATAATTACCCAAGAAAAATTAAACAAAGGGGGAGGGAAATAAAAAAGGAAGTATTTTGCTGTCTTAAAGCTGGGTAAAAAAAAATAAAAATAGAAGGGTTTGTAATACAAATATAATATCAATGTTTAGACAGATCCCACAAATGAGCATCATAAACATTTCAGAAAAAGGTTTACAAGGAAGTAATACATTTCATTGTGTGTATTCACTGGCAAAAAAAATTACAACAGTTCTGAAAATTATTCTTCTCAGACACCACCTTTAAGCGACTGTTGATCTGACAGAATAGCAAATTCTGCAATATCTCTTACCTGCAAATCTTTCTCTCTTACTCTGTCAAAGCTACATATACTCTTGGATCTTTCTCATATGTATAACTGGAGAGCAGTTCCATGACGGAGCCTTTGGCTGGTGGCCAATAATACGGTCGTTTGCATCTGTTATTGTTAGAAGTCCTGATGGTCCCTTATGTAATTAAAAGTGTTTTTAAAGACTGTCACCCCATGGGGTTTAATTAAGGCTCAGTCTCTAATAGCCAGCAAGTGTAAGATACATATTTCTGTTATAACCTGATCTCTAATTCAGTGGCTAACATGCATGCAGATGTGCTGTAATGGACAGCTGCAGGAAAGAATTACTGGTAATTTTCTTCTGAAAAGGTTTGGGTCACTGTAGATTTCTATTCCAATATAAAACTTACTAAGCAAAAGTCAGCAGGTAAGAAATCCCAGTTATCCTGTATGCTGGGACAAGGCTACCACTAGATTCTACCAAACACAGTCCTAAAGAGAGAGAAGTGGATGCTTTGAAGCAATAGCAAAAGAGCAGAAATAATGAGGTGACTTTTTGCAAGAAAGCCAAAGAGAAGCAGGTAAATAAACTTCACAACAACATTAACCAGAGAACAATATCAAATCAAGAGAAAACGAAAGGGGGAAAGAAAGGGGGAAAGAAAGGG